CGATAATGAAAATAACCGATAAATATCGATTACAGTCGATCAATTACTTATAAGCGACTAAATCAGATTAGAAATATCATGCTGTATGGTAAAAATTGTATAAGCTATTTTATATATTCATGACTACTTAGCATCTATTCTTTTAAAATAATAAAGAATCATAAACTGCGTAACATATTTTAAAATGTTGAAATTGTACTATACCCTTTAGTAAAATTAATAAAATGTATTACATATCTTATTATGACACATATTAGTAAATTAAAGAAACTCATATACAATTCTTTGAAATATACTATGTTGTCCCACTATTATCATGATTTTCAGGCTAAATTCTAAGAAAAAATTCTCTCCATGTACAATAGTTTTTTTTCCGAAGAAAACTTTTAGCATCTTTTTTTACTTTTTTAAAAAGGTAAGTAAGTATAAATTATATATCTAAATCTATAGCGTATTAGGGCTCCTACAACTTTATAGCGATTTATAGCCATAAGATTTTTCATGCACTTTATATCTGTAAAGATTTTTGTATTTTATACTTATAATGATTTTTATACTTTACTGCGCATATACTATATATAACAGTACATTTAATTAGTTACTAATAAAAAATAAAATTTTATCAATCTATTGAATTTCCAAATTAAGTTTTTAGGGCTGCTATAGACAAGCCACTTTGTAGTACCACAATCGAAAGCGCCGACTCGTTCATATACGGCTATTCTGTAGCGTTACAAAAATGCCCATCTGAACGCATCTGCAACGCTTCTTAAGTCGTGCCACGAAATGGCCCATATGAACATATTCGTGACACTTTTCTGTAACACTACAGAATAACTCCGAACGAACGGATCGCACTGACAATGAGAGAAAGGATTTTGTTAATTTAGCAAGCCACCAGTACCTTTAACCGGTGATCGGTAAATATACAAATTTTGTTGTTGCTAAAAAGTCGCTCATCTGTAGGAGCTCTAAAAACTTAATTTAAAAATGTAATAGATTGATAAAATTTTATTTTTTTTATTAAAAACTAATTACTAAATTAATAACTAATTAACAACTAATAACTAATTAATAAATGTACTATTATATAGTATATGCGCAGTAAAGTATAAAAATCATTATAAGCATTATAAGTAAAGTATACAAATCATTATAATGTAAAATATAAAAATCTTTATAAAAAATATATATATATAAAGTGTATGAAAAATCTTTATGTACATAAAGCATCTTTGTCTTTATTAGATGCGAACTTTAACTTTTATTTTATTTTGTAATAATTAAATTCGTTACATTTTTTGTAACGTTTGTCATAAAAGTGAAGTAAAATATTGCCACGATAATGATGCATGTACTCGTTTTTATCTTGCGTTTACGTAATAATGAGCTTATTATCAATAGACAATAGAGTAGTTCTTAATTTTCCGGAAAAATAGAATCGAGAAAACAACCTACAGTTTTTCGGTTTTTCCAGTTTTTTCTGGAAAATGCAAAATTGCTCTCTTAAGTGTTTTTAAGTTTCCGGAAAAATAAAATCGAGGAAAAAAACTCAATTTTTTCCATTTTTCACCAAAAAAATTCTTTCAATAGGTTCTTTTTTGAATTTAATGATAGAATGTTGCTTTAAAAAAATCTTATTTTAAATTATTTTATACGCAAGAAAATAGAAGATTTGTCTCGTTTATGCATTATTACATAAATGACACATTTTTCGGGTGTATTGAGACTGATCAAACTGAGATTCAATAATCAGTAACAGTATAAGATATTTATTTTTATTATTATTTGTACATTCTGTGATAACGCAGTACAAAATACTAGTATTTTTCGTTACACAAAATACATCTATATATACCTGTGACACTCTTATAAAAAAAAAGTACTTGTTTATAAATTTTCTATCTTCTTTGTACGTATAGGGTTGGCTAAGTCGTACCGATGGTTAAATCGTACCTCCATTGTATTTTCTAAACGAAACTTCTTTTTTAAAGATTAACACTGATATGATGCTGGTAATATGGGTTAAGAACTATCATTTTTGTTTTGTCTTTAATTCGTCTATTCACGATTGACATTCAAAATTTATTTTGTTCGGTGTCGGATTTAAATTTTGGTACGATTTACCTAAGGTGTACAAGGTAGATAATTGAATTATAGTGTTCTTCATGGCTATAATTGATTTAAACTCTTTTCGAGTATAGCATCAAACAAGAAAAATTCTACATATGGACGCACGATTTTTTACTGTGTATATTGTACCGGTACGATTTTCGTAAGTGACGCGAGCAATATGTAGAGATTACTATTATGATAAAAAAGGACCTACAGTGGACTGGATTCAGTGTGTCAGATACTCTAAGTGGTTGCACGAAACCTGTAATGACAATCCTGACATTTATCAAAACTGTTCAAATAAGCGCTAAAGAAAATGATTATACTTATCAACTATTGAGTCTTTCTATTAAATATTTTTATTGAGTCTTTCTATTGAATCTTTTCTATTGTGACGGAAAAATCCGTAATTGATTTTATTACCAAAATTTATTTTTTCAAAATATCTGAGATTTTAATATTCTAAAATATAGTGCAATGATAGCTTAAATCAATGTAAGTATTGCTTTTTACTTTGTTTTCCTAAATGAGTTTAAAAAACACAAAGTCTAATTTCTGTCTTTATAATAGAAAAATTTTTATTATACCTACTTAAATATGTATACTCAGTTTGAAATTAAAAATAAATTTATTAATAAATGAGTTTTAAAATTAATTTTGTTTATTTTCCCAGTAATCAAACTGACGTTATTTACCGTCATTTTGACGTTAAAGATGTTATTCTAATGTCAAAATGACAATAAGCAATGTCAGCTTGTTTGCTATATTAAAAGTACGATTTAGGAACCAGGTGTTACAATTTAACGACCCGGTCTCCAAATCGTACCGAAAGCTACTTTTTTTTAAACTAATTTAAACAATAATTTAATGTTTATTTTCGTAAAGTATCGTTTTGTTTTATTGCCAATAAACCAAAGTTTAATGTAAGTCCAGAAATATTCTGATCTCTTTAGTACTTTTTGTAGTTACAATTTTGTTTAAACGTTAGGAGGTACGATATAGGCGACTTCCCCCTATATTATATATTTTTATACATGCATATTTTTTTTATATAACATAAACACAATACAGTTTTGTGATATATGTATATGTATATGTATGAAACATTAAATTTATGTTACAGTATCATGTCTGTAGTTTTTTTTTAATTAACCCTCAATTACATGTCTCGTTTTAGAGTTTTAATTTACATGTCTGGTTCCAAGTCACCCACAGCCTCTTTGACTAGCTTTGTAATTACCACAAATGGTCTCAATAGAAAATTTTTTTTTTAATAATTTGCCGGAATGTATAGAATCGAAATATCGAAATATAAAAAGATTGTAATAATTGAAAAAGTTATGCCAAAAAATACTAAAGAAAAATTTGTGAAAAGAGTGCAGTAATCAAATTTTTTTTTTTTTTTTTTTTTTCAAAAAATTCTGTCTTCATGATAAAAAAACACAGATAAAAGTAAGTAGTGTTTTGAAAAGAGGAAAACGTGAACTTTCAAAAAAAAATATATTACAATGATTCCTTCCAAAAAGTATAATTAGTTGTGCGACTGAAGTGGAGCATTTTTATACATGCTCGGAAAAATGATATCGAAGGTATGTCGAGTATTTTCTTCCTTAAAAAAAATGCAAGACAATATTTTGTATTAAATATGTAATTATTTCGACACACTATTTATTCACGATTTTATAACTTAGAGAAAATAGAGGGATCGTTTCATTAAGACGCCTCTCTCGCAAAAACGAATTTTTTGACAATGAACATATGTTTTAATTATAAGAAGACAACATATATACTTGAATACAGCACTAATAAACAGGTACTCACTAAAAATAAATTTTCACTTTTGACAAAAATCGATCGAATTTACATTTAACTGGTCCAAGTCACCCAAGCCAAACTTTTATTGCACAATTAGCGTCAAAACAATGAAGCAATTACATAACGGCAATCGAGACAGAGAAAGTTTTTTTTACACCTTCATTTAAACTCTACAATATTAACCGTACAAAAGTAACGGCAGATTAAAATTTTTACCCGGGCCTAAATGACCTACTCATGTAATTGAGGGTTAATATTTAATGTCTTTGCCAAGAGAAAGAGAAGGGGGGAAGGAGCGAGAAAGAAACTTATTCATAAATTCAAAAAAATTTCATAAATGATCAACAGGGAACTTTATTCATAAATGAGTAGTTTCGCAATAAGTTTATTACAGTTTTTTAAGATTAAATTTGAGAGGATTATTTCAGATGGATTGCGTTGAAAGTCCAGCAGTAACGACGCGCAATCATATTTCTGAAATAAATTAATTTAAAATAAGAATACGTATCTGTATTAGTTTAACACCTAACTTTGATCGCCAAGTGGCGCTTCTCATATTTGAGTGATGTACTTATTTAAGTGATGTACGGTTTTAATCCTAATCTTATAAATGATTTATTTATTAGAATTCTTAAAAGTAAAAGAAATTAGTAATTTAATGAAATTATTTACATAAAGGACGATAAAAATTAAATTATCTTAAAAGAAAGAAGTCTGAAAAAATATGATAAGAAAAAAAACCGGAAAAAACCGGTTTTTTCCCAAAGTTTCCAAGAATTTATTTGGACTAAGAACACTAATAGACAATAATTATAAACTGCGTTCAAGGAGCACAATATCAGCATTGTTATGTCATTTATCTTTATTGTTTATCAAACGTAAAACAACGATAGAATGATGCAATAGCTCTGATAACGCGTTCCTTGAACACAGATTATAGTTATTGTCTATCGATAATAAGCTTTTAATTATTACGTATACGAAAAAAAGATGGAACCGATGGATATGTAAGAATTGACAGAAACGAATATCGACGAATATCGATGCATTGTCATCGTTGTGCGCAAAATTATAGAACAGTCGACCTACGTTCATTGCAAGAAACAAGTTCTTTACGCTTTTTGTCAGTAAAACATTTGCGATACTTACGCATTATACGGTGCAAGTCACTATATTGATCATTTACGAAAATTACTTGCTACGATAAATTAGTGCATCCTGATGATGGAGTTTCGTTGGAAGTTCTATGAGAATATAAAAGAAGGTATGTGAAAGTTAAAATTAATATTAATTAAATTAGTTATAGATTAATGAAACATTTACGACTACCATTTCTACCATTTTAATTATAATACAGTAAATAATACATATATATGTAAACAGTAATACATTAAGCATTAAAAGATGTATTTGTTACATCAGAGCGATTAGGGAATATTTTCTTTATGTTATATTTTGTACGTATACGTATAAACATTAATATTACGTTAAATAAAATTGAAATAATTTACAATTATATAAGACAATATCTTGTAAAATTTTTACTATGCAGGATATCGCTATTATAGATCAATGAATCGGAATTTGTAGATATATTATACTTTTAAATTGTTTTTTTATTTATAATTTTATTCTGGGGTATTATATTCTTTTTTTTTCCAATATTATAATTTAGTAATTAAATTATGTGGATATAAAATTCTGTTTAAAATGTCTATCATTAAAGAGATGTTGAAAGACGAAGATCTTGAGAAAAGAGAGCGAACGAGAGAGAGAGAGATATCTAGAAATTTCCATTTATAAAAAACATAAAGGAATCTTTTTCCTTTTAATTTGGTTTTATATTAAAACTGATACAGAGTTTATTGTTTATTTTTGGAAAAAAGAAATAGATTTTTAAAGGAGGATGTTAAAAAGGAGGCCGATTTTTGCCCACAAATGTATAAGTAAAAGGAATAGCGTGCTTTATAGATTTTGATTTCCTGAATACGATAATGTTTATAAAAAGTTCGGGATCGATAAGGAACACCTTGAAAATTGAGCGTGAACGTGATATATTTAAACAAATTTCGATATTTTTGTTTATTCATCAAGATGTTCCCCAAATGCGTCGAACTTTTTAATAATTTTATCATATTCAGGAGGTTAAAATCTACAAAAAACACTTATTTCTTTTACATACACCTTTTTGAACAATAATCTGCTCTTTTTTGAAGTATATTAAAAAAGGTCCGACTTTTGTCCAAAAAAATGTAAGAAATAACATTGATTTTCCATCCTGAACTTTTTATTAACATTATCGTATTCAGGAGGACAAAATCTATAAAAAACACTATTCTTTTTATTTACACCTTTGTGAGCAAAAATTGTCCTCTTTTTAGCATTCTCCTTTAAATTTGAAATAAAATCTTTGCCACAGTGCGTGTTTAGGTTTTTGATATTTAATTAATAATGCTTTTGCAAAAAAATAAAATATGTTTTACGTAGAACATTTTTCTAATTTCAATAAGATCAACAAAGTTTTTATAAAATATTTTATATTATACATGAGCTGCTTTTAGTATTTATATTTCGTTAAATTCATTATTACTTTTATTTAATATTTTATATATTTTACATAAGATATCCGTTTCTGATTTATTCGCAAGCTACAACTGTAAAAGTCTCAGATATTATCACTTTATCTTTTCATCGGGATAAAAACAGACGCATCTGTCATACGGCGAGTGATTATTTGTCAGAATAGCAATTTATCTTTTTAATGAATTAAATTTAGGATATTTTGGCTGATGTAACACACAAGTAGGTATTCGAATTTTTCCCATTATTGATACGTATACAAAGGAGTATATGAGTGGAACAAAATAATTATACATATATAGATATGTGTAATAAGTTGTATAAAACGGAACATAAATAATACAATCAATGATGAGTCTTCGTTTTTAATAATTCGACTGATATCTGTAGTTTAAAGTAAATTCTCGAAAAGATAATTGCGTATTAATAATTTGATTAAATTATCCATTATTACAAGTAAAAAAATATTGATACCATGTAGATACGTTATTAACGTTCGTTAAACGCATCATTTTAATTTATTAGATAATGTACTATTTCAAATACATATGGTCAAATATTTGGTTAAATTATATACATAAATGAGAGAGAATTAACAACAGCATTTTATATTAAAAAGTATATTAAAAAAAAATACTTCTATATAATACAATACCAGTCAAAATTATATCACCTTTCGATTTTTTGAACTTTTGTCAAAGTGAATTGAATGCGCTCAAATTTATACAATAGACACTTGGTGGCAGGTAAACCTTGTTCGTAAAGTATAATGAGATTTGACAATGTACACCATATTTTTTTAATTTTTTACTAAATTTTTCAAAATCGCATTATTTTACTTTCTTTACTTTTTATGATATAGCCGTTTTTAGCGTCATGACTTAACTTTAGTAGTTAGATTTAGTATTTTACATCATATATAATATATTTATATATATAAATATTCGTAGTGTTCAAGATGAACGACAACAGAAAGTCATCGTAAAGAGCCATAAACAAGGAGGCAACAAACTTCGCATATTTCGCAACAAACGTCGATATTTCCTGGGCAATGTCCGGCGCTGTACGATGTGGATTGCTGCGAGATATGCGAAGGATGTTACGATCGAGGAGAAAAGTAGTGTAATGTGGTCGGCCATTCTTCTTCTCCTTAACATAGCTTCGCTAAAGTTTTCAACACTTGAGAAACTTGATCTGTTGATTTGGAGATGCCAAATTGCTGGGTGAGCTTCTTATGTATGTCCATCCTTGTTTATATCTTGAGCATCACAAGTATATTTGTCATAATGTAAAACACTAAATCTAACTACTAAAGTTAGGCCATGATGGTAAAAGCTACGGCTGTATCATGAAAAGTAAAAAAAAGTACAATAATGCGATTTTAGGAAAAAATTAAAAAATTACGGTGTCAAATTACATTGTCAAATCTCATTATACTTTACGTACAAGATACACCTGTCACCAAGTATCTACTGCGTAAAATTCGCATTCGATTCACTTTGACAAAAGTTATTCTCAAAAAATCGAAAGATAAAATGATATAATTTTGACCGATACTGATGTATATCTTTCTACAATTTTAAAAAACAAATTTAGCTTATACAAGGGGGGATCCAGGTATGTATTCCATATATCATGAAAAATTTGATATTAAGATGTAGAGTTTAACGTCGTAAAATGTAATACGTAACATTGAAGAACCAAAGAATCGAAGTTACAAAATTTTAAAGTTTGAAATGACAGCAAGCGTGACGGATATCGAAGTAAACAGTTGGTTGTTATCGCGTGTTCAAGAAACGGACTAGATAATATCTTTTTTGTTGTTTTTTTCCTTAATTATTTCTTTTTACGTTCTTAATTCATCTTATCACTCTGCAAATTAAAAAATATTTTTTAAAAATTTATTTTTGTAAGAACTACCTTCGTGATAAAAAATAGAAGGAAAATAAGAAAATTTATTTAAAGGGATCAAAATGTACATTATTTTTTTATAATTAAATATGTACTGTTAAATTAAAACTGTGAATTCTTATATATATATATATATACATATATAATAAAATAACACAATTTTAAATCCAAAGTAAAAGATTTAACAAAAATTTGTAATATTATACAATAGATATATTAAAATTAAAGTTAAGAAATATTTAACGAGTTATTTCTGTGCCACAATAAATTATTATATACATTGCACTTTGAAGGATGACAATTATCATAAAAACATGTAAAACAGAGATATTCAGAGCATGAACATTTCATAAATGCTAAAATTTGTTCATCACACTTACATTTCTGTTGATGTAACGCATGATATAGCAGTTTTATATACGATGTGTTTTTACGATAGTTATTATCTTTCGAACTGCAGTGTATATAATATTCATTGTGATACAGCAATAACTCGATAAATATTTTTTAACTTTAATTTTAACATGTCTATTGTACAATATTATAATTTTTATTAAATTTTTTACTTTGTAATTAAAAATGTATTACTTTATTATTAAATAAAAATTCAGTTTTAATTAAACAGTACATAATTAATTATAAAAAAATTAATGTACATTTTAATTGTTTTAAATGACATTTATCTTATTTTATTCTTATTTTTTATGACAAAGGTTCATAGTTCTTACAAAAATTAATTGTTTTGAAATATTTTTTAATTTTTTCATTTTTTGCAGTCATAGGATAAATTATGAACGCAAAAAGAAATAAACATTAAAGAAAAAATAGCAAAAAAAAATATTACCTAGTTTGTCTCGAACATGATAACGACCGTTTACTATGATAGTGGTCTTTGTTAAGATACAAAACTATAAAGATAAAAATATTTTTTAAAGCGGCCAAAGCATGCTAAAGTGCAAGTTTCAAGCTTTAAAATATACTCGCCCGCAAAAACGTTATGCTGAAAATTTTGAAAAAGCCTACCAAATTTTAAATGTTCATAACTTAGTAAATAATAAAGGTAAAAATATGTTTAAAAATACAAAATGAAGCTTAAAGTGTGCACTTTAAGATTATTTGAATAAGAATCGTACTGGATCATTATTTTCAAAATGGCAGATGGCAAAGTGAGAAAATGCAAAATTGATATACAAAGGACCGAAATTGTGACGATTCATAGCACGAATCAGATATCGCAGTCTAATGGAACAAAATGCACATAAAAATATGGTATTTTATCTTTAAAATGCTTTTTCATACAATACGGTCATTTTTCGCTGAGTTATTCCTAATTTAAAGTACCGTTATCTCAAGCTAAAGTTATGGTTGTAATTCATCCCAACACGAACTGCATAGAGTTTGACTGATCGGAATTGAATCTCATTGTGCATGTGCGTAAATATGTATGTATGCGTGCGCACGCACGCACGCACGCACGCACGCGCGCGCACACACACACACACACACACAAAATGAGGTAGGTCCAATTCCAATCATTCAAATTCTATGTTGGGATGAATTACAATATACATAATTTTAGCTCATAATAGCGGTACCTTAAATTTGGAATAACTCAGCAGAAAATGATCGTATCGAATTCCGTAAAAAAACATTTTACACATAAAATTTCATACTTTCATCTTCATTTTGTCCCATCAGGTTGCGACATCTGATTCACGCCATATCATTGTCACAATTTTGGACCTTTGATTATGAATTTTCTATCTTCTTACGTTGTCATCTGCCATTTTGAAAATAATGGCCCAGTATAATTCTTATTTAAATATTCTTAAAATAAACACTTCAAGCGTCATTTTGTATTTTAAAACATTTTATAATCTTCATTGTTTACCAAGTTATGATCGTTTAAAATTCGATAAATTTTTCTTAAATTTTCTGTGTACTTTTTTGCGGATGAGTATACTTTTGTTACCTTTTTTGCTTGCGATGATTTTTTTATCGAATTGTAGTGATCGAAATATTGTGCAATTTAAAATTCCACGTCCGGAGACTTTTCGATAGTAAGTAGCATACATAATGAAAAATATAAGTAAATATATAAGTAAAAACGTAATATTAAAAAACCTAACATACACCAGGGAATGGAAGTAACTCGTTACTTGTAACGAAGTTACAGTTACAAGTTACTTTTTTGGTAACTTTACTAGTAACTGCGTTACTTTTTTTCTTT